TTGGGTATTCTCTGGGTTGGATGAAAAAGCACAAAATTTGTTTTGTCAATATTTAGGGATAATTTATTAGCTGCCAGCCAATCAACGACTTTTTCCAGATTTTCATTTATTATTGATTCCAGGTTAACAAGGCTTGCATTAGCATAGAAAAGATTAGTATCATCTGCAAATATATTAAATTCAAAAGCCTTGCTACAATTATGAAAATCGTTAATATACAATAACCCGGACCAATAATAAGTGGACCAAGAACAGATCCTTGAGGAACCCCGCATGTAATTTCAGATTCATCAGATTGAATATTGCCTATTGAAACAAATTGACGTCTGTTACTTAAGTAAGAGGAAAACCAGTCATAGGGTATGCCTCTTATTCCATAGCGATATAATTTTTCAAGAAGGATTGCATGATTTACGGTATCAAATGCTTTAGAAAAATCCAAAAATATTCCACAGGCATACCATCTTTTTTCGATTGCCTGTTGAATACTATCAGTTATAGAAAGAGCTAATTGTACTGTTGAACGCTTAGAACGAAACCCAAATTGCTTATTGTATAGCAATTTGTTTGAATCAATAAAACTTAACAATCTTCTATAAACTAGTTTTTCTAAAATTTTATTAAATATGGAAAGTAAGGATATTGGACGATAGTTATTAAGCATAGTCTCGGGTCCTCTTTTATAGATCGGAATTACATTAGCTATTTTAAATTGATCAGGAACAAGACCAGTTGAGAAAGAAATATTGTATATTATTTGAAGAGGAGTCGATAAGCTTGACCTGGCTATTTTTAACAAATCAATTGGAATACTAAAAGGACCTGTTGCTTTAGACGACTTGAGTTTGCTAATTTCCATCTCAATTTCTTGTTTTGTGGTGGCATACATAAAAAAGCTATTTATCACAGACTCCCCCATAGTACTGGATGGTGTTGTATTAGTAGTAGGTATAGTATCAGCTAAATTCTTACCAACATTTGAGAAATAATCATTAAAAGCCTGACATATATCTCTAGTGTTTGTTATCTCAAGATTATCTTTAATAATTTTTGTCGGTATATTGTTACCCCTGGGCTTCAAAGTAATAAGCTGTTTGATACCTTTCCAGATATTTTTAATATTCTGATTATTTTTTGCAAAATAATTTTCGTAATACGTTCTTTTGCTAATTCGTTGCAGATGATTTAATTTGTTTCGGTAATGCTTAAATTTGGATTTATAATAGTTATTTTTTGTCATTAGATATTTCTTATATAATCTGTTTTTAACCTTAATTGAATTTCTAATACCAGGAGTTATCCAAGGTTTAGACATAGTTTTAATCTCCTTTCTAGTTTTTCTAACTAAAGGTACATGTTCATCAACAATTTTCATAGTTTTAGAGTGAAAAATTTCAAAAGTATCATTAATATTGTTATTTCTTTGTAAAATACTATGCCATTCCAAACTAGACATATCTGCTTGAAAAGAATCTTTATTAAATTTAGAGTAATCTCTCTTATAATATTTAAAATTACCACTAGTCAGATTGGATATCTTGTTGACAATCAAGAAGTTTGGAAGGTGGTCAGTAATATCACATAGTATATTACCACTAATAACAATATGTTCCAAGGAATTAAAGAAAATATTATCAATAAGAGTTGCTGAATGATCTGTAATTCTTGTAGGTTGTAAAATTTGTGGATGAAAACAATAGGATCCCAAAGTGTTAATAAAAGTATCAGTATCAGTATGTGTCTCAAAATTTAAAAGATTTATATTAAAATCACCCATTAGAATACAGTATTTATTTTCACTGTGGATTTTTTCAATAGTATTGAACAAGTAAGTTAAAGTAGCATTAATATCAGCAGTTGGGTGTCTATAAACCACTCCACATATGATATTATGTTGATGATTATTCTGAATCTCAATCCATAGGGATTCATGCTCATTTTCTGAACAACTCAGATCTTCCCTCTTGCTAAATACAATATCATTATTCACATAGAAACCAACACCACCTGCATTTGATAAAGTGGCTTGAGAAATAAAATTATATCCTAGTAAATCAAGATTGATGATGGGGTCATCACCATATTTAATTTTAGTTTCTGATAAGCCAATTATAGAGAATGAATGGTGAAGATCAAACAATAAGTTGCACAGAGGATCAAAATTTGCTGATAAACTTCTAATATTTAAATGAAGAGCAGAAAATGATTTATTTTTAAATATATTTGTTACTTCTTCACTTGCATGAAATTCATGAGAAGTATAATATTTAAAGTTGGTTTCATAGGGCAGTTGTAAGTCTATATCATTATTACAGAGGTGAGGACTATTACTTATAGAGGACATGATATTATAACATGGCAAATTCTCTATTCTTGAATAAGATAAACTATTCGAACAATAGCACGAGGTATTTTGGTCAAAAGAAAATAATTCATTGAAAACTTGTTTATCAATGGCATGAAAAGGGAATATATCAGAAAGACACTGAGAACAATACCAAGTTGTCGTACTATCTGTTTTAATAAGATAGTTATATTGTTTTATTGAAAGGGGTGTGCATTTTTGATGATACAAATGATTACAGATAACACACATTATCTTTCTTTTAATTTTGTTTAATGACTTTTTGCAATTATAGCAAGTATCGTCAGTAAATATGCTCATTTTGTTATGATTGATAATATATAATCAGGATTAAATAAATTAAATTAATTAAAATAAGACATAAATGACTGTTTTCACAAACTTGGTAACTTTTGAAGATCCTTGTCCGAAGAAATTAATACAGCACGTTCTCTTTCGTTTGCCCTCATATATATCTTCCCCATTCTTCTCCAGATAAATTTGTAACCATGTTTCCTTTTAATATCCAGGCATTTATTAAATAATAATTTATTCTGTTTGGTTAAGCTCTCACCAATGAATATTGGATTCTCCACAACTTTGCTAAACCCAAGGTCACGTGTCGATTTACCTCTTAGATTCTTCCGGGCTTCATAATATTTATCACGAACATTACGTCTTACGAATTTTACAATGATAATTGGATCTCTGTTTTGATCTTCTTGGCGTGATATTGGAAGACGGTGACTGACCGATATATCTTCATCTGTAACGTCAATTCCAATTTTCGTTCCCAGTTGTTGCACTATCAAATCTGTATTTTCACTCTCACTCTGTGGAATGTCTTTAATTTCTAAGCAGTCTCGTCTGGTATATTGTTCAAGGTCGTTTATGACATCTTTCTGTACTTGTACTACATTGTTAAGTCTGAAAACCTCAGTCTTCAAACGATCCTCAAACGATCGTTTTTCTTTATGGGCAAAGCTGCTAATTTGCAAAGTTTAATGTGCCTAGCTTGTTTAGACGTTAAGATGTGGATTAGTGTATAAATAAAGGCCCACAAGAGTATTAAATTGCATAAATATTGCCATACAGCCATAGCTCTAGATCTTTTTGAATGTAAATACTAGCAGTTTATATTATGAGCAAAATAAATAAAATTCTCAACATTTTAGGTTAAATGTTCCAGGGGTTGTTTGCATAGTATGTTGATGAGGTATATCTCATTTAGTCAAGTTGTGTAAAATATTCATGACGATTTAGGAGCAAGCACAGAGACAACTGGGATAGGTCTTGTGTTTACACTACAAACCTACACCTGTCCAATCTGTTTACTGGGACTTACCTTGAGTGACCTGAGAATGATTTCAGGTAAAGCATTTGTGTGTATAAACATGTTTGGATTGTTTAATCCCAAGACCAATTTCCATGGCAACATGGTAAATCACGTGTGTATATGTATGGTACATGTATGGGTGTATTTTTGTGTGTTTATACACCATACTTTGCCGGGCTGATTTTAGATTTTGCTAACTGTTGACAAATATTTTCAGTGAGACCATCAAATGTTTGCCACATATTTTTCAAATGTCATTGATTTTTAAATATCAATACCATCTGTACTGTAATCAGCCCAACAAATTGCAACGTGCAACCATGCCTTTAAATTGTCCAATTTGTTAGACTATGTCTGTAACTGGTATAAAATGCATTGTATGCAGCCAGAGGTAAATCCAGAGTATACCTCATTCCTTAGTGTAAACATAGTAGATTTTGGCAATCAAGGGCAATAGCCTTCATAGTTCAAAACTCAAAAGTAAGGTGAATCACAAACATCAACAGGTGAACTATGCATGAGATGAGATTAGTTTGGTCTGGTTTGTGGTTTATATAATTATTGTCAGCCAGTTACAACAATAGAGCTCTAGAATTTATGTTTTTATCTTCACCTATATTTTGCGTACTAAAAAGCACTCATGCATGTTAATTTATATTCCTTCTATTGGTAAAATTTTAGAAACCTGCAATCATTAAATATTTTCCAGTTAATTTTCTCCTCTGAGGTAAAATGTATCATCAGTACAAATAAATAGTAGTTTCAACATTCCATATTTATAAAATTCAATGTTTTATTGAAATATCAAGAATATAAAGTTATAAACTTGGCCAGTTTCTTTGACTTTGGCTTTGTTGTCAGAATACTTTTCTTTCAAACTGCAAAAATGGAGTACATTTCATGATCTCCATCCAATACCAGACATATATCTTCAATCATTTGAAGTAAACCATGACCAGGAGACTTTCTATTAAATTTGAAGAGGTCCTGAGGAAACTCGACAGCTAAAATGATAAATATATAATACCATTTTCGAGGAAAAATAATTATTATCAACGCAGTGATCATTTGGACATAAAATCTTTCCCAAATGTCACGCTCGATTGGCAGGCCTTTCAATTTCATTCGGTTTAGTACAGCAATTTCCTCATTTGCATCCTCATGTCCGCCATGTTTGCCACAAATTCTGCCAGACGCTTCGTTTCCTCCAACCTCGCCAAGCACCCCCCCGTGCTCGAGCCACTGATCTATATAAAAAAACTGTAGCGTGCCCATTTATAGCGCCTCGGCAGGAGACTGGTTCCTGGCGGTGAGGACAAGGCTCCTGGTGGTGAGGACAAGGCTCCTGGTGGTGAGAACAAGGTCCCTGGTGGTGAGGACAAGGTTCCTGGTGGTGAGGACAAGCTTCCTGGCGGTGAGGACAAGGTTCATGCCGGTGACGACAAGATTCCTGCCGGTGAGGACAAGGTTCCTGCCGGTGAGGACAAGGCTTCTGCCGTTGAGAACAAGGTTCCTGCCTGTGAGGACAAGGTTCCTGGCGGTGAGGACAAGGTTTCTGGCCGTGAGCACAAGATTTCTGCCGGTGAAGACAAGGTTCCTGCCGCTGAGGACAAGGTTCCTGGCGGTGAGGACAAGGTTTCTGGCCGTGAGCACAAGATTTCTGCCGGTGAAGACAAGGTTCCTGCCGGTGAGGACAAGGTTCCTGGCGGTGACGACAAGGTCCCTGGCGGTGAAGAAAAGGCTCCTCGCGGTGAGGACAAGGTTCCTGGCGGTGAGAACAAGGTTCCTGGCGGTGAGGACAAGGTTCCTAACAGTGAGGACAAGGTTCCTGCCGGTGAGGACAAGGTTCCTGCCGGTGAGGACAAGGTTTCTGCCGTTGAAAACAAGGTTCCCGCCTGTGAGGACAAGGTTCCTGGCTGTGAGGACAAGGTTTCTGGCCGTGAGCACAAGGTTTCTGCCGATGAAGACAAAGTTCCTGCCGGTGAGGACAAGGTTGCTGGCCGTGACGACAGGGTTCCTGGCGGTGAAGACAAGGCTCCTAGCGGTGAGGACAAGGTTCCTGGGGTTGAGAAAAAGTTCCCTGGCGGTGAGGACAAGGTTCCTGGCGGTGAGGACAAGGTTCCTGGCGGTGAGGACAAGGTACCTGGCGGTGAGGACAAGGTCCATGGCTGTGAGGCCAAGGTTCCTGACGCTGAGTACAAGGTTCCTGACGCTGAGCACAAGGTTCCTGTCGGTGAGGACAAGGTTCCTAGCGGTGAGGCCAAGTTTCCTGCCGGTGAGGACAAGGTTCCTGCCGGTGAGGACAAGGTTTCTGCCATTGAGGACAAGGTTCCTGCCTGTGAGGACAAGGTTCCTGGCGGTGACGACAAGGTACCTGGCGGTGAGGACAAGGTTCCTGGCGGTCAGGCCAAGGTTCCTGACGCTGAGTACAAGGTTCCTGACGCTGAGGACAAGGTTCCTGTCGGTGAGGACAAGGTTCCTGGCGGTGAGGCCAAGGTTACTGGTGGTGACGACAATGTACCTGGCGGTGAGAATAAGGTTCCTGGCGATGAGGACAAGTTTCCTGGCGGTGAGGACAAGGTTCCTGCTGGTGAGGACAAGGTTCCTGCCGGTGAGGACAAGGTTCGGGGCGGTAAGGACAAGGTTCCTGGCGGTGAGGATAAGGTTCCTGGCGGTGAGAACAAGGTTCCTTGCGGTGAGGACAAGATTGCTGGCGGTGAGCACAAGGCTCCTGGCGGTGAGGACAAGGTTTCGTACGCTCAGGACAAGGTTCCTGGCGGTGAGCACAAGGTTCCTGCCAGTGAGGACAAGGTTCCTGTCGGTGAGGACAAGGTTCCTGCCGGTGAGGACAAGGTTTCTGGCGTTGAGGACAAGGTTCCTGGCTGTGAGGACAAGTTTCCTGGCGGTGAAGACAAGGTTGCTGGCGGTGAGGACAAGGTTGCTGGCGGGGACGGCAAGGTTCCTGACGCTGAGGACAAGGTTCCTGGCGGTGAGAACAAGGTTCCTGGCGGTGAGGACAAGGTTCCTGGCGGTGAGGACAAGGTTCCTGGCGGGGACGACAAGGTTCTTGGCAAGGGACTGCGAGGTTGCTGGCGGTGAAGACAAAGTTCCTGGCGGTAAGGACAAGATTTCTGGCGGTGAGGACAAGGTTTCTGGCGGTCAGGACAAGGTTCCTGGCGGTGAGGACAAGGTTTCTGGCTGTGAAAAAAGTTCCTGACGCTGAGGACAAGGTTCCTGGCGGTGAGAACAAGGTTCCTGGCGGTGAGGATAAGGTTCCTTGCGGTGCGAACAAGGTTCCTGGCGGTGAGGTTAAGGTTCCTACCGGTGAGGAGTAAGTTCCTGGCGGTGAGGACAAGGTTCCTGGCGGTGAGCACAAGGTTTCTGGCGGTGAGGTTAAGGTTCCTGGTGGTGAGGACAAGGTTCCTGGCGGTGACTTCAAGGTTCCTGGCGGTGAGGTTAAGGTTCCTGGCGGTGAGGACACGGTTCCTGGCGGTGACGACAAGGTTCCCGGCGGTGAGGACAAGGTTGCAGGCTGTGAGGACAAGGCTTCTGGCGGTGAGGACAATGTTTTTGGCGGTGAGGCCAAGGTTTCTTGCGGTGAGGCCAAGGTTTCTGGCGGTGAGAACAACGCTCCTGGCGGTGAGCACATGGTTTCTGGCGGTGAGGACAAGGTTCCTGGCGGTGAGGACAAGGTATCTGGCGGTGAGGACAAGGTCCATGGCGGTGAGGCCAAGGTTCCATACGCTAAGTACAAGGTTCCTGACGCTGAGGACAATGTTCCTGTCGGTGAGGACAAGGTTCCTGGCGGTAAGGCCAAGTTTCCTGCCGGTGAGGACATGGTTCCTGCCGGTGAGGACAAGGTTTCTGCCGTTGAGAACAAGGTTCCCGCCTGTGAGGACAAGGTTCCTGGCTGTGAGGACAAGGTTTCAAGCCGTGAGCACAAGGTTTCTTCCCGTGAAGACAAAGTTCCTGCCGGTGAGGACAAGGTTGCTGGCCGTGACGACAAGGTTCCTGGCGGTGAAGACAAGGCTCCTGGCGGTGAGGACAAGGTTCCTGGCTGTGAGGACAAGGTTCCTGGCGGTGAGGACAAGGTTTCTGGCGGTGAGGACAAGGTTCCTGGCGGTGAGGACAAGGTATCTGGCGGTGAGGACAAGGTCAATGGCGGTGAGGCCAAGGTTCCATACGCTAAGTACAAGTTTCCTGACGCTGAGGACAATGTTCCTGTCGGTGAGGACAAGGTTCCTGGCGGTAAGACCAAGTTTTCTGCCGGTGAGGACAAGGTTCCTGACGCTGAGTACAAGGTTCCTGCCGGTGAGGACAAGGTTCCTGGCGGTGAGGAAAAGGTTCCTGGCGGTGAGGACAAGGTTCCTGGCGGTGAGGATAAGGTTCCTGGCGGTGAGGACAAGGTTCCCTGCGGTGAGGACAAGATTGCTGGCGGTGAGCACAAGGCTCCTGGCGGTGAGAAGAAGGTTTATTACGCTCAGGACAAGGCTCCTGGCGGTGAGGACAAGGTTCCTGCCAGTGAGGACAAGGTTGCTGGCGGTGAGGACAAGGTTGCTGGCGGTGACGGCAAGGTTCCTGGCGTTGAGGACAAGGTTCCTGCCTGTGAGGACAGGTTTCCTGGCGGTGAGTCCAAGGTTCCTGGTGCTAAGGACAAGGTTCCTGGCGGTGAAAAAAATATACCATGCCCACTATAAGACCGGTATATTGCGTTTTTTTGTCTTATTACTCGTAATTGCGTAATAAGTGTTCAAGTTGCATGGGCAGGTTGGACAGGTAAAAACGGTTCTGAGGTTTATCATAATTGCAAAATGTATGCAATGCACATGTTATATTCCTGGTGAATTAAGCACATGTCATAGACCAGCAACAGGGTAATAAGGTAATAACCATGCAAGGGAACAAGCACACATAAGCAAGCAATAAGGTAATAGGGTAATAAAGGTAATAAGCATGCAAGGGAACAAGCACACATAAGCAAGATAGATAGATAGAAACTTTATTTATACGCGCTGACCCCGTCAACCGAAGCTGATTTCCACGGGGGGCGTGTGCAAAAATAGAAAATGTTACATGGAGATATTAAAATACTTAAGTTTAAAAAGGTAGAATATTAAATTATTTACATGATAAGAAGGTTATTAGAGTATTTACAGTTACTTCAATTTCCTCTATGTCAATTTTGTGAGCAGCAATTTTATTTCTAAAGGATGAAAGAGTTTTGCTTTCCCTAATTTCCTTTGGAATAGAATTCCAAAGGTGTGCTCCGTCATACATGAAACTATTTTTCATGTTGTTAGTACGCGGTTTTGGTAAACTAAGACCACTTGAAATGTCACGAAGGTTGTAGTTTGTTTTCTCACATTTGTATGAAAAAAGATTGGTGAGTGATTTAGGACCCATTTTATTTAATACTTTGTACATCATTTTTGCCTTAGCTTTCTTCCTTTCAGTTTTGAGTGGCTCCCAGCCCAATGCACGTAGAGCAATGAAATGATTTACGTCATTACTCATGTTCAAGATAATTCTAGCAGCTCTATTTTGAAGTTTTTGGAGTCGTTTTGATTGTGATTCACCAAACACATCCCATACTTCACAACAGTAATCAAAGTATGGGCGGACAATAGCATTATATATCGAAATGAGTGTATTTTTGTCAACGAAAGGTTTGACTCGGCGAATAGCAGAGATTCCTGCATTTATTTTTTTGCATATATTTTCGGAATTACTTTTCCAAGACAAATGCTGGTCAACTATTACTCCAAGAGTTTTGCATTCGCTAACTTGTTTAATTTGCTTATTTTCAATGAAAACATTTAAATGTGAATCAGAATTTTTTTTAATCATTGCGTTTGAACCAATTAACATAAATTCTGTCTTAGCTACATTTAGACTAAGTTTATTGGCAATTAACCATTTTCTGAGGTTTTCCAAATCAGAATTTACTGCAGTTTCAAGGTCAATTATAGAATCTCCCGATGCTGTCAGATTTGTGTCGTCAGCAAACAATCGAGGTTTTGTTTTGTTTAGACACTGAGGTAAATCATTTATATATAGCAGAAAGAATAGTGGTCCTAAGATAGAGCCTTGTGGTACACCGCATTTAATCAATCGCTCTGTAGAAAAGGAATTCTTAATTTGGCACTTCTGGTTTCTGTTTGTGAGATAAGATTTGAGCAAAGTTAGAGCTTCTCCTTTTATTCCATAAAGTTCTAACTTCCTCAATAGAATTTGATGATCAACAGTATCAAATGCTTTTTTTTAGATCAATTAGGACTACTAGGTTAAACATTTTTCTGTCTAGATTCATATACCAATCATTGGTACAGTCCAGTAATGCAGTTGCTGTAGAATGAGATTTTCGAAAACCGAATTGAGAATCGCTAAGGAGTTCAAATTTTGTTAAATAGTTATACAGTTGATCATACATAATTCGCTCCATAATTTTGCTAATCGCAGGTAAAACTGATATTGGTCTATAGTTTCCTGGAATATTCCGTTGGCCATTTTTATACAAAGGTATTACTCTTGCCATTTTCCATTCATTAGGAAAGGAGGATAGAGTTATAGCCTGATTGAAAATAAACGTCAATGAGTCTGAAATAGCTGGTGCAGCTATCTTAATAATTTTACAAGAAATTTTATCAATGCCAGTGGCTTTATTGCTGGAAAGCCCATGCAAGAGACGACAGACATGACTGACAGTAACAGGCTGGAATGCTGCAAATTCTGATTCAGCAGTTTTAGTATATGTTTCAAAATTATAATTTGAAGTATCAATTTTGCTAGCTAAATCAGGCCCAATATTTGAAAAGTAATCATTAAAGCCCTCTGCAATATCTTTGGGAGTTGTAAAAAATTTTCCCCCTAGATTAATCTCATTCACCACTGTTGGTTTGTTTTGCCTACCTAATAAGTTGTTTATACTTTTCCAAGCTTTTTTAGGATTGAATTTTTGACCAGCTATTTTTGAGGAATAGTAATCTTTTTTGGCATTCCTTAGTTCTATGTTTACTTTGTTTCTAGACGTTTTATAATCAAACCAATCATTTTCTAGGTTTGTTGAAATGGCTTTTCTTTTTAATTTGTCCCTTGTATTAATAAGTTTCTTTATATCACTTGTAATCCATGGGACTTTTTTAGACCTGATTTTTTTGCATTGAAGTGGTGCATGCTTATCTAGGACGTCTACGAATATTTTTTTTCAAATCTCCCACATATCATTTGGGTCTTCAGCAAAAAAATACACTTGTTCCCAGTGCTGTTTGAGCAGTTCCGCAACAAATTTTTCTTCATTAAAATTTTTCATGTTTCTCATCTCAACTATATTCTCTTGTTTCTTTATAACAGGAATTTTCCTGATAGCAAATATCAAACTATGATCACTTATACCTGTGTGAATGACACCAGAATCAGAAATTTTTTCTGGTGTATTAGTAACCATATGACCAGTGGGGCGCAAGGAATTGGGGGACCGGAAGTGACGTCACAGAATTCCAGGAAATTGACTCGTCATCATGGCCATGCCCAAACTTGTCCAGTTACACTATAATTTGTCTTACATGAAGTACTACCCCCCGTGTCCATGAACCGGTCTATATCTACTACTCACAATTACTAGTGTTTTCCACATTTATACATTTTATAAACAGCTTTCGTTTTGACACAAACTTTAATTTTTTAGTGCTTTATATATTATTCTTAATAACGCATTTGACATTTAATTTTTTCTTTGTAGTAGAATGCTCTGTTATTTTTTAAAGCTCGGAAATTTATGTCTATTAGTATGACAGTCTATGCGCATCTGACACTGTAAATTTGTGATATAGATTATAGTACATTAGGCCTGACTAGAATTACCGAATACGAATTATGTACTGAATCCAAAATTTTAAAGATAAATCAATGACAAACATTTTTCTGTTTGGCTAGTATCAAATTTTTACATTTGCTAATATTGGGTTCTAGTCCTACTAAGACAATACAATATATGCAATACTGTTTCTTTTTAAAATCTTATAAACAAGACGCGTAGTAACAAGTAAATCGGTGCAAATTAACGTTCAATTACAAGAAAGGACAATCTAATGATGTATTTTAAAAAACATTACATATGGTAGAAATGATGACCACTAAAAACCCATAAATGTTGAATAACAACACGAGAGAATGGTTGCTAAAACTATTTAAAATACAATAACGCACCAAAGCTACGTTAGCCCATCAATAGGCATATTACGTTCATCGCTCAACATGGTCCGATATCAAACTTTACGTACGTAGCGTGCCGACAAGAAACCCCTACTCTACTTTCCAGTGAAACTCCAGACTGTGGATTGTGTTATATTATGTTATGTTATGTCATATAGGTAAACTAAATGCATGTAATATTCCGGTCCGGTGAACGTATCGTATGCATGGTTGCTAAAACCATTCAAAATACAATAACCCACCAAAGGCCGAAAGCTACGTTAGTCCATCAATATTACGTTCACCGCTCAACATGGTCCGATATCAAACTTTACGTACGTAGCGTGCCGACGAGAAACCCGTACTCTACTTGCCAGTGAAAATCCTGTGGATTGTGTTATCTCATATAGGTAAACTAAACGCATGTAATATTCCGGTCCGGTGACCGTATCGTATGGAATAAATTTCGTGCGTAATAATTACATATGTAAAATAACCTAGGTAAACGTTACGTAGGTAACTGTCAACACTTTCAAATTCAAGTACATGGGTAAAATTACCTACGTAACTGTCAACACTTTTAAATTTAATTACATAGGTTAAATTCACATACCCAACTGTCAACACTTATTTCAAACCGTGCATATGATAGTTCTCAAATTGTTAATGACCGTTAACACTTTGACTTGACTTTGATGCTTCTGTGTGGTCCACTTGAAACGTCTCTACAGTCTCTTGGAAAAAAATATAAACACCAAAATAGCAAGAGTTGGTATTAACAAAACGAGTTCGAATTAACAAAGCATATAAATATAATTCTTTTCTTTCTGAATCTTTATATATAGATGACGCAAAATAATCACCAAATACTCAGATATCACTCTCAAATACAGTCACTTAATTTTAAATTATCGTCCGCAACATGCAATCACTGAGTGCTTCCAAAATATACAACGAACATATGATGTATATATGATAAATCTAATGGTATTCCGCTATTTGACTGCATGATTAAGATTTTTGAGAGGCTGTCTCTCTAAGAACCGACCAATGACTTTCGGCTCAAAAAATGAAATTCTTCGTTACTTTTTGAAGACTCCCAGAGCCTCTGAAATTTGTTACCTTCAATTATCGCGGAGTTGAGACGGCAGAGCTTCCAGTCATTTATAAAATGCGCCGTCGTTCCGGGATTTTTTTCACACAAGCCTTTAAGCGATTTTTCCGCGTTCATGAACGTCAGAAGTTGTTTTAATTCGAAAAGATTTGGCTCGATGAAGCGAGATAAACGTTACAGCTAGGTAATCGAGGTAAAATAGAGTCATTGCTAATTTTGGCACTTCCCGTCATAAACAGTCTAATCGTGCAACAATATATTACTGCCATTTATTAGCAGAAAACCAGAAACATGACGTATTGTCTTGTTTCTATAGCTTCTCTTCCGTGTAATGCACAGCAATTCCATTAGTATATATTTGACAATTTCGATTCCCAACTATATCTTCGCATG